GAAACCACTAAATCAGGCCAGTCTGATTTTCATCAGTATGCAATTAGCAGTCTAACTCCCTCTTTTTTCCCCCAAACCCAGCAAAGCAGTAAACATGTTTCAAAACATAATTTGTTTACTGGTGAGGGTTAGCACATCCGCATAAAAAAATTGCTTTTAAATATGTCATTTAACAAACTGGTACACAGTCTTTTTGAGTTTTATTTTCCTTCAAGGGGCGTTTATTGATAATTGATCTATATAAGTAACTCCAAAACTTCAATTTATATAAACTATGGCTGCAAAAATATTAAGTAGGCTAGGTGTTAGGTGCATTTTCCCAGTTTTATTATTGTTATTTGCTTCTATTACAAATCTATAATATAGATTTTAATTTCCAAAACTCCTCTTGGAGACTTTGGTTCCTGATATCTGAACCATCAATTCTTCATACACTTACCTACTGCATGCATTTAGATCAGGGATTCCCAACTGGGCCATGCAAACGGCAGGCAAGCGCATGAAGCTTCATTTGTGCATGTGCGGGACTAGGTTGTGTGCGCAAAACCATCCCATCCACCCACCCACCCACCACCCCTGCCAGTCCGTAGAGCCAGAAACATTGGGGACCGCTGGTTTAGATTACTAGCTATTGGTAATGGCACTGAGAGATGGAGATTTATAATTGTTTGATGCCACAGTTTAGTTTACTGTTTACGTTTGTTTTCTTATTGCATAATTATTTCAAAATGCCCCTATTTTTACTTTATACAAGTAGTCCTTGACTTATGAATCAGAACTGAGCCCTCACTTTCGATCATAAATCATGACAATCTGACAAAAATGTCATAAATTGCAATCAGGGTGGATAATAATTGAGGGTTTTTTTTAAAAAAAGATTTTTTTAAAATTTAAATCAGATTTTTTTTCCAGGTCAATCAAAACCTCAAATGACCAAACGTCAACTTACTAAAGACTGGTTGTAAGTCAAGAATTTCCTGTAAACCTTAACCCTGTACACTACTTTTGCTACAGAACAGGGTATAAATACTACATATCAGCACACATGTCAATAAACCGTTCCTTCACTTTCAAAGAAATAAAGATTATCAATTAATTTACCTTATAAGTTTTCAATCCTAAGAAAACAACACAACACATATACAAAATGACAGAGTTCAAGCCAATTTCTCTATAAGCTGATGATAAATTTAGAACACGTCTAAAAGCCACTTGCTAAAACTTGTCAAAGAAGGACTTTAATTCTCTCTAATGTAGACATACAGAAACATAGACACATACAAACAAAATAGGGAAAAAATAAAGAACACAGATTGAATATACCAGCAATTTGGCATATTATGGGAAAACAAATTCAAGCATTCTATTCATGTGCACAACAACGTCTAGCACTAGTCAGTGCTTGGTGAATTATTCTAGTTACTGTACACACAAGTAATCTTCACTTACTGACCATTTGTTCAGCAACATTCAATGGGAAAAATGTGCTGAAAAAAATAACTTTATGGCCCATTTACAACTATTTACTTTGTTCAGAGCCCTCAGTCTCATGGTCACCATTACAGATAGTCCTTGACTTACAACCACAGTGGAGCCCCAAATTTCCATTGCTAAGCAAGGCAGTTGTTAAATAAGTTTTGCCCATTTTACGACCTTTACGCCCTAGTTGTTAAATGAATCACAGCAGTTGTGAAGTGAATCATGCAGTTGTTAAGCAAATCTGGCTTCCCCCATTGATATTGCTTGTTAGAAGCCAGTTACAAACAAGGATCACATGACTCTGGGACAATACAATTATCATAAATACATGCCAATTGCCAGGTGTCTGAATTTTGATCACATGACCATGGGGGTGTGCAATGGTCATAAATGTGAAAAGGGTCACAAGTCACTTTTTCAGTGCTGTTGTATCTTTGAACAGTCACTAAATGAATGGTTGCAAGTCAAGGACTATCTGTACAGCCAATAAATGTTGTTGTCAGGGCCCACTTCAAAATGGGATTGGCCCACTTGAACTGACCAGAAGAACCTTGGGGTGGGGTTTTCTTGGGACACTTTTAACCTATTGATCTGAGCGAGAAACCCTCAGATCCTGTCTAATGTCAGGGCCCACTTCAAAACCTCATCCTAAGAAAGCAGAACTCGTGGAAGCAGTTTCTTCCAAAAGGAACTTTTATTAGGAGAAGCTGATAGCAGGCATTTATTTATTTATTTATTTATTTATTTATTTATTTATTTATTTATTAATTGCATTTATATCCCGCCCTTCTCCTTACGGACTCAGGGCGGCTGACAATTGAATAAAATACTAACATATATACATATACTTAATTAAAATTTGATTAAAACGAAATATTTAAATATGTCCAATTTAAAAGTAATTAAAACCCCCTTTAA